GAGGCTTCTACTTGCATTCATGAAATCGTAGGAATTACCCCATTCAATGCAGGAAGGTAGGAAGGCACCATATATATGGCTTGATGCTTCCTTTTCAGGCACAGCATATGCAGAGGGCTACAGTCTCCTTACAAAGGCAGATCTCAATGCAATGGTCAAAAAGGTTTCACTCTGTTCGGTGGAAATCTTCCAGGTATTTTCACATACACACAAATTCACTGATGTTACAGGATTTCTAGACAAGCTGTATTGAGCATTCATCCCTGATTTCTTCACACAAAGTTTGTGAGGAGGATAGACAATATCAGCTATTTTTATGAGTGATTCCCTTCCGATTTGTTTGCAGAATGGTTGTATAACATTGCGATAAACCAGGTATAGGGAACCTTTGGCCCTTCAGAAACTGCTGAACTGCAACTCCCATCATCCCTGGACATTGGCCATGCTTGCCAGGGCTGATGGGGAGCTGTAATTCAGTGACATATGGCAAGCCAAAGGTTCCCTACACCTGTGGGGAAAGGGCTAAAAGTGTTGGATGAGCTGTAAGATTGGGATGAGGAAAATGTGGTCTGTCATATGCTGTTGGACTACAACTCCCATCAGTCCCAGCCAGTATTGTCCATGGACAGGGATGATGGGAGTTGTAGTCCAGCCACACCTGGAGGGCCATGTTTTTGCCATCCCTGCTCTATGCTCTTAGTTCAAGTGGGCTGATAGCCAGACCTTTCAGATGTGACATATAAATTTATATGGAATGTTCCTTGAGGATAGGAACCTTGCAAAACACTGTGTTAAATAGATACAATACTAGCTTATCTCAACGGGATTCTTAGAGGATCAATTAACTTTGACATCTTATTCAACATGTGAAACTGTTTCTTATCTCTCATTAACATGGCTGCATTTGTGACTAGCAAGTCTTCCAGCTTTGGCCAAGAACCCAGATATTAGCAGTCTTCCATCATTGTTGCCTCAAAGGATAATGCAAATTATACTTTTCCTAGTGAGTTGCTTCAGGTAGCAAGAGAGATACGGGAACAAGTTTGCACAACATTTTATTTAATTTAAATTTTGGAAGATTGACTCGCACCAGCCGGAGCCAGGAGAAAAGAGTTTAATGAGTGTTGTTTAACTAATTGCCAATTATCTTTGAGCAGAGTGGTAATTTCCAGCAGCTGTTCATAAAGCAAGGTTATAGTCAATTTATACTTTGGTGTTGCCAAATTGGGTAGGTAGCAACATGTGGGAGCAGATTGGCTCCATCTTTATAGGTTTTTTTAAAAAGATCTATATATCATTCCTCAAGAAGGAGGTGAGTGGGGGATGGGAGAGGAAACTTGGCACTGTGTTTTTCCCATTTATTTGAAGTTACTGAGTGCAGGGCACATCCCAAAGGCATTTTGGTTTTATTGAATCACCTTAGATGTTAATGCCTGATTCTATTTATGTTTACTTAGAGATAAGTCTGATCGCAGGGGTGGGCAGATTTCATGTTTTGGTGTGTTGTTTTGGGGGTTTTTACTAGAATCATGGGATCCAACAGCCAGGCCCTGAAGCCAAACACTGTTCAAGAGTAGCAGATTGGAATGAAGTTCGTGATCCTCCTCCCACACTCCTGGCCTCAAGTGCTTTTAATTTCAGCAGTATAATTTAAGGTCTGGATGTGCTGTACCTTTAAAATGCATTTGAAACATAGCCTTTATCTCAAAGTGTTGTGGGCGCTGTAGTTTGCCCAGCCACTCTTAACAAACTACGGAATTCATTAAGGGGAAAGATTGTGCTTCAAATATGCTTTAAAGGTATAGTGTTTGCACAGCTATAGTTGCTGCTACTCTTTGACCATTTAGCATCAGAAATACTTGCTAATCTATGGCAAATCATTCCGAAATCTACCGATCAAGTAACTAGCTGTGGGCTACAGCTAGGTAGGTCATAACGGCAATATCTTACTGTGAAGAAAGCCCCATTCCATTCAATGGGGCTTACTCCAGTGTAAAGTGTCTACAGAATTGCTGTGTAAGGGCTGCTACAGACTGGGGGATTTTTGCATATATTTTCTGCAACATATCATTGATGCAATGATAGTGCATGAGTGATGGATTTATACTGGGCCGTCCATGCATTATTAGCTGTTCTGAGATACTTCTCTGATGTTACTGCCTTATTGCCTTCTGGAAGGGAGCTATTGAACTATGGCACAGCGAAAGCAGGACACAAAGAAAAACCTGGAACATTTGTTGGTATAAAAAGTGACAGGATTGCAGCAGGACATGCCCCGAAGTGGTATGTTCACTGCAAAACTTTTGCAGCCACAAATTGTTTTGAAAGCAGGATTGTGTATAACCACCCCAATACCATCACGAGTGCAAAATATTCCTGGAAGCATCGTAAAAGGGCCCTAAATCACTCAATAGCAGAATCTCCTGGAAAATCCTTGAAAGTCACATTGCAGGAGCTGAAGTCTTGAAGTGGTTTCCTTATTCAAAGTCCCCCACAGAAAACTTTATTTTTGAAAGGAATGGCAAACACTGGCTATATGCTTCCTTCACTCACCCACCCCTTCCCTCTTTCAGAAACCCTGACACATTTTCATGCCGTGGGGTGTACCCGTCTAACTTAGGCAAGCCTTAACAGCTCACGTTTCACTGTTTTGTCTGTTAGCATTATAGACCACGTTTCTCCGCGGCTTGTAGTAGGGGGTTTTAAAAGAAAAGGCCTCAAATATGAGTTTATATACAGTGCCAGATTTTGTTAAGCACATGAGAGGATTCCCATGCCAATTTATAACTAAGTGTCCCTCCTGGCTGTGTCTGTTAGTCTCCCTGGAACAGCCAAACCTACAGATCACTGTAAACGTTAATCTTCTTATACTTTCAGGTATCAGGTTCCCTTTGATGTTACCAAACATGTTGACTCCTATCTTGGTTGAATGTGCAATCCAGACATAGTTAGCATTAATAATGTTTTGTCTACATCGTTCTCACTGAGTGACTAACAATATAGATTTGCTTCCAAAACCACACTTCTCTGGTATTTTCATAAAGTCGTCTCTAGAGCTAATGCAGTTTGTTTCCTATCTTCTGCTTTTGTTGAGGTGCGTAGATACATCACACTTTACTGGGGAGGGGATCATTTATGTCTTTTATGGGGCAATCCAATCTGTGTCTACTGAGAAGTAAATATAGGGTTTAGGGATGGATGAATCTGTCAATCTTAGCTTCTCTGTGTTTTCCCCTTTTTTCCCCCAGTCACAGATTCAGTTCTCCACATTCCTGCAGCAATTTAGTGCAAAATTCTCCCATCATGTGGTTTCATATGTAGTTTTGATTAATATACACATTTTTGCAAATGATTGGGGCTCAGTGCTCCCTTAAGTTTGATACATAAACTTGCTCTCAGGTAAACACTTAGGCAGGAACATCCACTCCCATCCATAAACTTGTCTGGGAAAATAAGAATATTCTTTATTCTCAATTACTTGATCATTCATGAGAACTGCTAATTAACAAGCAAATGTAAATAGTGATAAATTATGCTCAATTTTGATGTTTTCCATTTAGCAGAGTATTAAGTTGCAAGTGATATAGTGCACACTTTAAGATCTCGTTAATTTTGATGCCATAATGGATGAGAATTCCTAGAGGAGTTTTTTAAGGCCAGAAATATGAATGGTATTAGCTCAACAGTTATATGATTAAGCAGTAAGACCTGCTGAGGCAGGCAGTACTTGGGCATGATTGACGACTGTAATTGATTGACGTGCAGAGGTAAAGCCAAGGGCACCGATTTACTGGCTGGGTCAATCATCTCATGGCTGTGGCCAGTTTGGGAAGGCTTATTACTCTACTGATATAGTGAGTGTTATTAGAAGCTTTTAATGTGTTTTTAATGCTAAAGTGGTAAATTTTAACTAGGGTGAACCTTAAATAGGTCAGTGTGAGATTGTCGGGATTGGAAAATATTCTGATACTTTGGTAATAAAAGATCCGATTTTTTTTGTTGGGCCTCTTCTGTGGTGGCACCCCAATTCTGGAACACCCTCCCTAAGGAATCTAAAATAGACTTGCTTTACTGTCTCTGCCTGCTTTATAACTTTGTAGCTATGTTGCTTCTCAGTATGAAGAATGTGTGGTGTTGATGTGATGTTTTATTACATTGTGTTTTGTTGTTGCACACCTCCCTGGAATCTGTGACAATGAACTTGAGAGTGTCCTGAATCTTATTTAAGAATGATATCCTCTTTATTCAAATAAGCAACTACTAACCATGATGGCTGTATATACGTACTGCCTCCAGTGTTTGAGAGTATTTGCCTTTGAAGACCATTTTCTGAGGATCGCAAGTGGAAGTATTGCTGTGGCACTGATGTCCTTTTTTGTGGGCATCTGTTTGGCCACCATGCATACAGGATACTGGATTGGATGGGTCACTGGTCTAATTTAGCAATGGAGAGAAAAATGAAAGGAGCATGTGGGAAAGTGGCTAAAAGTGCAAATAACATACAAAATGTGTGAAATACAAGGAAAACCGCTTACAAAAATATGTTTATTAGAGGTGTATATTAAAATAAATGTGCACTAAATTGTTGCTAGATTCTTGTGAGTGTACAGTTCCTTTTTTAAAAAAAATGCAAATTTGTGCAGAATTATGCTGGCTGAACTCAAAACTGGAAAAACTGAGAAGCAGAGAGAAACTGAAATTTGCAATTTCACCCCTCCCTGTTCGTTCTTATGCCAGTTTCATTTTCAAGCTGTCCCCCTTCCTCATTCACAGTACAGCAAGAAGAAAGATCTATATTCTAATTATACGGCTCCAAGGGAGGACACACTTAAAGGAGGTCAAGGTCGAGAGGCTTGTTGGCATCAGAAGCCTAACGCCCTGCTACTGAAGCATCGCTTCACACTCTCCCACTGATGTATCTTATTGCAGCTCCCTGCCCTCCTCATTGTGCAAGATAACAAGGAAACTAAGAGGAGGCAGAGACAATAATAGTATGAAATATTGATGGACTCTTACATGAAACAGTCCATAGATCCAGCTGAGGCTCTTGTTCTTCCTGAATTGAAATCCACCAAACGGACCTCATTCCAAGGTAAAAATAATCATTTTTTAAAAAAAAAAATCTACAGGGAGGGGCAGGTGTTTGTTGCATACCTTCCCCACACTTTCTTTTCTTTAACAAAGTTCTGATCATCACCATATAAAAACCTATATTAATGTAAGATGTTGTGTGATGTGTCTTAAAAGAGGAAGGGCAAGGTGTTGCAACCAACTAAGTTCTGCTTGGAGTAAACCCATTGAAATGAAGAGATACAAGTTAGTTCATATCCATAAATTTCAATGGGTCTACTCAGAGTAGAACCCCCACTGGATACAGCTGAATGCGCCCTGAAACCTCATTTATCAAAGTCATGAGGGGGAAACCTAAAATTAAGGGTTCCGTCTCATATTTTAGTGAGGGTGAAGAACCAACATCAACAAGAGAGCCAGAATAGTGATATAGTGGTTAGAGTTGTGGACTAGAACTTGTGAGACCAGGGTTCAAATCCCCTTGGACCAGACACTTCCTCACAGCCTAACCTACCTCACAGGGTTGTTGTGAGGACAGAAATGAGAAAGAGACATATGTATGCCACCTAGAGCTCCTTGGAGGAAAGATAATAATGTGATAGATGAATAAATGCATCCATTAAGAAAGGTCCTAGAAGACCTGCTCCCTGCCTTGGAGGCCTTTTTCCACCTTCCCTGGGAGGACAGGACCCTGTCTGACTCCAGCTACCCAAAGCTGAGGCTGCTGAAGAGGCCAGAGACCACCCTGGCTGTCATTTAGTGCAGACCCAGGTCACTGAGCCTGAGCTTCCACAGCTGCCAATCACCATGAACCACCATTGGCAGGATTGGCAGCAACTGTAGCAGATATGCTCTATGCTTATGATAATGTTTATTCTCTTGTTGATTATGCTATTATAAAGGTGCACTTTATATTTGACTTCCTTTAGTCCTGTTTTCTTTTGAAATGTTTAAGGTATTGCTTTAGTCAACTTTGCTGCATTAAATGTGCATTCTGTAGTTGCCCAACTTCTTCGTAATGTTCTGCTTTGAGATCTTGAAGGTAATGTTTTTCTTTTATGTTAATTATTTTTTTTGAATATATACTTTGTAGTTGACTTTCCTCATTCTTTGTTCTTCCTCATTCTTCTTTGTTTCATTTGATATTTTAATATATTGTAAACTGATTTGAGATTTTTTTTTCTTTAAAACATAAAGTGGTATTGAAATGAAATGAATAATAATAATTGTTCCACCCACTTTTGATATTGCTTCTTTCTCCACCTTCCACTGGCATGTGGCCCCTGGAAGGTTGCCTATGAAGAAATGTGGCCCTTTGTCTGAAACAGACACTCTACCCATTGTGTAGACCAGTGATGTCCAAACTTTTTCCAAAGAGGGCCAGATTTGATGAAGTGAAGGTCCGTGAGGGCTGACCAAAGGACCGACCAAAGTTGTTAGCCTTTTTTAGGATTGAAGTTGTTGAGGGTTTTTTAGGATTTTACCACAGGAAATGAACTGCCACAGGGGCCGAATTAAACTGACCAGCGGGCCGGATTAGGCCCCTGAAATGGACTTTGGACATGCCTGGTGTAGACAATACTGAACAGATAGGCCAATGGTCTGACTAAGCAGAAGACAACTTCCCATGCTCCTGTGTCTGAATAACACAATGTTCTTCTGCAGGAAATGTCTTGAAGGGGATGGGAGTGTTTAAGGGAAACAGTTGAACCTGTGACAAAGGCAAATGGGAAAAATATATGAAATCTGTCTTCTCATTCATTCTCTTCTCTTCCCCCACCCCACACCCCACCACCTTCTTCTTCTTTTGAATTGGATTGAAGAACATGAAGAACATGTCTGATTGGATTGAGATGTCCCCATCACAGGAAGCAGGCAAGGCCTGATGCCCCAATAACAGAGGCTGCACAAGCAATTTAACATGTGGCTTCAATCCAATTCCCTGAGCGATTCCCCCTCTTTGTGTGTGACAACAAGACAAAGTGTTGCATGTGTAGAATCACAGGAGGGAATAAGAAGACGCACCGGTCTGAGCAGCTGGAACAACTCGTCTGTAGCTTAGTAGCAGATCATTGGGCTTGGAGTCTGCAGAACCAAATCTAATCCCACCATTTTCCCTCCCATTTAAGAATTCTGTATTTATTGCTTGGTGTTTCCGTTTGGCTAGAGAGGGGTGTTAAATGGCGTTCTGCCAAGTTTTCAGAACATGGAGAGTATTAAAGGGAATCTGTGTTATCCTTAAGCAATGGGAAGGGCCATAGCTCAGCAGTAGCACATCAGCTTTGCATTCTGAAGGGTCCAGGTTCAATCCCCAGCATATCTAGGTAGGGCTTGGAATGCCCCCATCTGAAACCCTGGGGAGCCACTGCTAGTCAGTGTAGACTGCTAATGACATCAGATGTGGGCAGGTAAAAAGATGTCTGGGCAAAAAAAAAGAGACTTCTTGAAGCACCAACAACTGGTAGCACTTCAAAGCACAGTGCAGAGCTCTCTGTGAGGGGAGCCCTGCTTTGAAGTCCCAGCAATCAACTGGTTGTGGGGGCTTCAAAATGTCTCATTGGCTGAGGTTATTTTGCCCCACCCACCAGTCAAATTTATCCACAGGGGGGTAAGGGAGATAAGGATCTGACTCAATAGCCAGAATCAGTACCCACATTCATGTTGTAGTCAATCCTGATCTAGGTGAATATAGAAACATAGGAAGGTGTTTTACATTGAATCAGACCATTGGTCCATCTAGCTCAGGGTTGTCTACTTCAGAGGTTCTCAACCTGTGGGTCCCCAGATGTTGTTGGACTACAACTCCCATCATCCCTGAGCCTTGCTAGCTAAGGGTGATGGGAGCTGTAGTTCAACAGCATCTGGGGACCCACAGGTTGAGAAAGGCTGGTCTACATTAAGAAGCAGTGGCTCTCCACTGGTCATTGCCCATATCAGCTGGGGCTGAAGTGATCTGTAGTGCAACAACATCTGGAGGGCACCAAAATGGCTACCCCTGACGTACACCAGTGAGCAAATCTGCTGCAGAACATTCTATAATGGTGTGCCAGAGACGATAAAGAAAAGGAGTAGAATGATAGAATGATGCATCCATCATGGGACTTTTGAGGGGAGTGCAAAAGACTTGGAACTTGGATTCTGGTTGACCCAGCCCCTGCCAAAGTCAAGAAGGAATGCAAGTGGGACCAAGGCCACATCTACACCATACAATTAAAGCACATGGCTTCCCCCAAATAATTCTGGGAACTTTGGTTTAATAAGGGTGCTGGCAACTGTAGCTCTGTGCAGATTAAGCTAAGGTTCATAGGATATTTGAGCAGAAGACATATTTTAATGTATGAGGTAGATGTGACCCAAGTCTCCTTACAAGTCAAGACCAGGAAGCAAGTCTGTCATGGAAGCTTTTGCAGAGGCCAAGGTATCATCTTACCTGTTGTAACCTACTGGAAAAAAGACAGAGGCTACATTGAGTTGTCTCCCTTCCTTCCTTTGGCCAGAGTCTTTCCTACAGCTCATTCCATTGGTTGGTCAGTTGCTTTGGAGGACAAGGTCAATGGTGGCTATTAGTCATGGATCAGAGGTGGTATACCACTGAATGTCAGGTGCTGGGGGCAAAAAGCAGAAGCTCCTGCATTTGCAGGAGGGTGGCATGCTGTGGCTATAAGGTCCTGCTTTCAGGCTTGGCTACTGTCAGAACAGGATTCTGGACTAGATGGGTCTTTGACCCATCTAGCAGGGCTCTTCTTGTACTCATACGTTCATATTCATGTTCTGCTTAGGGTTTTTGATAGGCATCTGATTGCCTATTGTGGAAAACAGAATAGGTCCCAGGACAGGGTTTGAAAGCACATGAGGCCACTACCTTCCTAGTGCTGATCAAGTCTGGGTCTGATCAGTGCCAGGGTGGGTGCATCTCTAGGAACCACTTGTATGCAGTCTTGGGTTTTATGATGGAAGAAAGATAGAATACAAATACAAGAAAAGAACTAAGCAAGTACATTAGCTAGGCCTTTTATCTGATCCAGCAGGGTTCTTACAGTACATGAGTTGAATCTGCTGCCTTTTAGGTCAAAATTCAAGAGGTGCTGCAGGTGCAATTCTTGACATGTGCCGAAAGCAAGTGTGTGGAAGGCCGGAGGAAGCTTTTCCATCGGTGTATTCAAAAGCCCTGAGAAACACCTGTAGCCTCTTTCCATCCTTATCCGCTGCTCAGCTAGCTGAGCTGAAGAAACTCTCTGATCATCTATTAATCTCTTTTGTTGCTCAGAAGGCACCGCAAAGGCTTCAGCCGTGGAAGCTGTCTAATGATTCTCTTAAGATCAAAAGGCAGGTGTCATAAAGGTTATTAATATTTTCCAAGTAAAATAGTGTTTGCTTTTTAAAGCCCCTGCCAAAGCTCTCCTGAAATGTGTTTGCCATTAAAAAGAGGGGGGAAAGAGTACTGGATGCCTTCAGCCAATATCTAGGTAGACAATTTCCAGACCAATTTGTGATGCATGATTAACAGATCAGAGAGGGATTTTTTTTTCCTTCAGAAAAAAGAGTGTTATCTGTGAAATGTTCCAGAGTGCCTACTTCACCACTTGAGCATCCCTGTTTATAATAGGCAACAAATGTTGCATTTACACAACAGCCTTATGGAGCAAAAGGTCGCCATGTTCAAGTGCAAAACTATCTGAAAATGGCTCTGGTTGCTTGACAAAAAATGTGCTTTTCTCCCCTAATTAAACTGTTTGGCTCCCTATTGCAGATCCCAATACAAAAGAAAAAAATGCCCTGAACATGAAGCAATAGTTTTCAACTGCTTCACTCTGGAGGAACCCTTTATGCATTGCTTTGTTGTCTGCAAAACTGCTGTTGACTGTGCTTTGCCCTATGTGTTGCATAATCTAGATCAGGGCTACAGAAGTTGTAGCTTCCCAGTCTTTGCTTTGCTTTGTTGTCTGCGAAACTGCTGTTGACTGTGCATTGCCCTGTGTGTTGCATAATCTAGATCAGGGCTACAGAAGCTGTAGATTCCCA